CCAAAAGGCAAAAATAGGCCTGGAAGAAATTTTTCTTTTTTTTTTTCCCATTTTTTTTTTTTTTTGTCTATTTGTAAATCACTTTTTTTTTTGTTCACACGGATCATCTTGGTCTAATTTAATTTATTTTTATTTTTTTGATTATCTAAATTACATTTATTGTGGGGGAAAATAAGCCAAAACAGGAGAAGTCTCAAATACCTGTAACCGCCATATTTGATGAAAACACGACTTCCTCTCTGTGCCGTCTAGGTGTGGCAGTGCGGTGGGAGCATGGAGGTCCTGCCGTGCGCCAGGGTTGCCCACATCGAGCGCACCAAGAAGCCCTACAACAACGACATCGACTACTACGCCAAGCGCAACGCCCTGAGAGCGGCAGAGGTGTGGATGGATGAATACAAATCCCACGTCTACATGGCCTGGAACATTCCCATGAACGTGAGCCTCTCTACACGCCGCGCTTTAATCCCCATGCAGGCTTTGGCCGCCCCCGCTCTCCTCACATCTCACTTGTTCATTCCAACCTGCAGGCCAGGTGAGGCGCTGATCGATAGAAATTCAAAATTCAGATTTCATCCTCCGTGACCTTCACACTGGCGGTGGGCCGAGTGAGGGGAAAGAAGAGCTGAATCAGACGAGAGGAGCACTAAGTAAAAAGAAAAAGAAAAGAAAACAAGCCTCATGTCAGTTTAGCATAATTGCCTTCAAGAGTCTACTGAGATGGGCTACAAACTACTAAACAGCAGCTTTTATTAATGGACAGACTAATATTGAATTCTTCTCCTTCGGCGCCGAGAAGGAGATGATTATAAATGAAGGACAGCTCAAATTTCAAATTCCTTCCTAAAATAATGTGAAGCCAGAACAGAATCAGCAGCAGATTCCAGGAGGAGCAGTGGAGGTACATATGAGGAGAGTATAAGGTGGCAGGTGACGAACTAGCCATTCCCAAACTCAGTGGCATGGCATGTTATTACCTCAGCTGTCCTGTGGCGGGGAGTTATTTTGTGTACTGTAAAGACCTAATGCTACGATTATTTCATCAAGCCCTCTTCAAAGCCCCCCACACACACTCACAGACCCTTGTTATTGTCTGAGGTGCCTGCTGAGAGCACAATTGCGTTGAATGGAGAAGGCTGCATGATTCGCCACAGTGGGCAGCCCTGAGTCCAAATACCAAACAGCAGCCCGGAGAGTCTGGATGTGTGTGTTGGTGTTCTGGTAGCTGAGAAGCGAGTGGATATTTCGAACTGGAATTCATTATTGACACAGACTTGAAGCGGGCTTCGTAGCTGGCAGCAGAAAAGGCTTTTCTTGGAAACGGCATCTGGTAGCAGATGTGTGTGTGTGTGTGTGTGTGCGTGTGCGTGGGTGTGTGTGTGTGTGTGTGTGTGTGTGTTGCTGTGTGTATTAATCTCTTTGGATGTGGTTGCTGTGCATCCTAACTGGACCTGCACCCATCCACTGTTTTCCACTTCCGATACCGATACAGATACCTGAGGTTTAGTATCGGCAGACATCGATCCATCACGGATAAACAGAACTGAATTGACTCAAGACGTTTCATTTTGCTAAACGGATATAAATGTACTGACTTAAAAATTGATTCAGTTCTGCACTGGTGTTCTGTGCACCAGTGCAGAACACTTTAATACACCATTAGCTTCACAAAGTTGGTCAAACATGTCAAAACAACTTTAATTTGTTCAGTCAGGGCAAATTGGAGTATAAAATCCAGTGTAAAATAAATGATAAAGAAACTGACAAAAACAATAGGTTGACTACGTTGGCCAAACATAGTCAAAAATAAACTGCAACAAACCTTTTTTTCAATGGTTCAGAAAGTGCAACTAGGGATTCTAAAAATAATGTAAAATAAATAATAAAGCATGACGTCGCTCAGAGCACAAACATAGAAATAGACTGAATAGATCTGCCCTTATGGATTGGGTGTCACCAATGTAGAATTATTTTCAAATTCTGAAGCTATGCAGATATTGATATTGGATTGGTGCGCAATGCATTTATTTCCATATGAGTCCACATTAATGCAGCACATATTGATATGCACATAGTGTGTGTGTGAGTGTCAAAATTAAGCCTGAGGCATTTCAGCTATTAGCCCTTCCCCCGGTTCATTCGGAGACCGTCCTCTATAAAGCTATCTGGACGTGAGCGCTCATAATCAAGCAGCTGATTAGAATCTGCTAAGTACAGATCAGGTCTAATGGAGAAACAATGAAGGTCTCACATGACTAGTGCATCTCTCCGTCTCTTACCTAAATGCAACGCCATATAACTCCTGCATCTTCCTTTCCTGCATAAGTGTCTGCTATACTGTGTGTTGCGCCTGACTTTTTTTAAGAAAATGTTTTGTCCTTTTTTTGTCTTTGCTTTGCGCCACACGCCTACAGAACCCGGGAGTTGATTTCGGCGATGTCTCGGAGCGCGTGGCCTTAAGGAAAAGGATGCAGTGCCGGAGCTTTCACTGGTACCTGGAGCACGTCTATCCGGAGATGCGGATCTACAATAACACCATCACATATGGCGAGGTGAGAGAAATCGCTTGCTGAAGGGATTATTGGAAATAAACTGAATGTTAAATGAAGCATAACATAAGCTGTGATTCTGTTGCAGGTGAGGTAATAAAAGCTGTTTTTAAAGAGGATGCTAAAGCAAAGGTGGATAATTTGATTCAGCAAATGATCAATAATGAAGATGAGCTCTTCAGAAGCTTTTTTTTGTGATTCTCCTTTTAAAGTAAGATCTTCTTGGGGAAAAAAAAACATGTTTGAAGCCAAAGTTTCCAAGCTATGAGTCAAAACCACAGTGCTGCTAAATACCTAAAACATTTGTAAATTTTCTCTGAGGTCCTTAAAAAAGACCTCAGAGGAGAAGCTGTTAGCGACGACGTTGATTTTCTTCATTGTTTTAGAATTAGCAAGGGCAGCTAATTCTAAAACAATCCAATGGCAACATGTTGACATCGCTTCCAAATATTGAGGGAACATTAACAACCGTCTCGTTCGGATCAGTATTTCTCTCTTCGCAGTGGAGGACGGTTGTTTATAGCTCAGTCAATTTCTGGTAAGCTTCATAGCGTTGAACTGCTGCATTACATACGTCACGGGCAAACGTTAGCAATTGGGTAAAGTTTAAAACTTCAACGCAGTCCACTCCTCCAGGAAGCAATCATTTCTCAGCAGCCGAGAGCCCAGACCCTCTGCAGGGAGCAAAGTGGACTACAAGGGTGAAGAAGAGTCTCTGATCATTATATTTCTTTGTTCCATAAATTCAACAAGGTGTCAGAACACAAAGGTTCTGATCCATATCGACATGATAGTATCACACACCTGATGCAGATTTGTTGAAAAAAAAAAAAGTGGAAAAACCTGTAAAGGGGAAAATATTTTTTCACAATATCGCATAGCTGAAGTGTTTTTGACAGGCAAGTGGGAGTTGATACGTTTCTCTATTATGCCATCGTGCCTTGATTGTGACTGAAATTTCTTCAGCATTTAACTCAAAATGTTCCCCAATTTGCCAAACCAGAAAGTCCTACTACTGCTTCACCCGGCCAATAATAGATCACATAAAGAACAGAGGCACCCCTGTATCTTTGTGGGGAAACTAATCAAACATAACCTTTTTAAATAAAGCAGTAATCAAACAAATGGACAAGACATTGACCAGCGAGACGACATGACACCGACAGGCCAAATGCCGTGTCCTCAACCTGAACATGACAGACAAACACCACGACTCCAATGTGTCAGGTTTAGGGTAAATTTCTATTGCAGCATTAACAGAGCAACGTTACTACACAAAATTAGATGCAATTTCCCTATAATGAGTTTTAATTAAACACTTATTAGTTTTCCATTCCAGCTTGATTGTCTTGTGTCTGCTTGAGCACCCGGCGCAGTTGGGGGGGAAAAGAAGGTTTTTTTATGGCAGACTGAAGAACTGAGCACACTCCTGAGTCTGACGTCGTTTGCAGACTTGCTGAAACTCACCGTTTTGTAACCTGCGTCCATTTTGGATATGGGGCAAACGCTGAGGGGGAAAAAAACTCAGAAGGTCTAACCATGTCGGCAGACGTCGGGTTTGCATTCATCAAAGTTTCAGACAACTCACACCGTCCTTTGTTTCCTCCACCGCCTGTTTTTTTTTTTTTTTTTTTTTTTTTTTTTGGCTCCAGTACCCAGCTAATGGATTTCTCAGAGTGGCGTCCTCTCAAGTGGCACTATTTCAGATCTGTCGGCAAGCTGGGAAGCGGTCGCCTCGCGTTGCCACACAGCGGCTGCAGCAGACTCGTGTCCCATCTGTCACCGAGCATCAGCACCTCGCTGCACTCGGCCGTGCCGTCCAGACCGGCCGAGTGAAACCTTCCCCCGACCACAGCCACATGATGGATGTATCGCAACCTGGAAATGAAGCCATACACATTCAAATCACAGCGAGCCGAAGCCCACAGTAAACGCACACCATCATCTCGCCCGGAGGAGAGAGAGAGACAGAACTGGGACTGGTCACTGCATGACAACATCCCATCACGGCCGGGGCTTTGGGATGACTTGAAACCTTGTGACGGCTGTGTGAATAAGCCGTGGAGGACCTACAGGAAGCAGAGCAGGGAGGAAATATCAGAAATAGACAGTGGATCAGCAGCACGTTGTTGTAAACGGACGTCATGGATATTTTGGTTGCAGGCTAAATTATAAAATGTGTTGATGGTTACTGAAGGATATTTTTACTCTAGAGATGTTGTTCATAAGTGATCTTTTTCACATTTTTCCACCCAGAAAGATTTTTTTTTGTCATTTTCTGATTGACACCAGTTAGCTAACATCAACGTAGACAGTGGTTGCAAACAAATACATCATGATATATCACGGCACACTAATGATAACACAGAAGGAGCAGTAGGAATGTCTGCCATTCCTACTGCTGTCCTACTCAGGACAACAAACCTTCTGTCCCGTTCGGGCCTGACTGTAAGGAGCAGGGAGGCGAGACGTATGGCAGCTAGGAAAACAGTGATGCTGGCAGAATCGTGCTTAGGGTTACTTCTGATGGAACTAGATTGTTTTTACGGTGAATTCGATTATGGACAGCTTGAAATAGCAGCCAGTTTCAACGAAAAAAAAGGAATACTTTATCATTGACATTTTTTTCCTCTGAAAATCTTAGCATCCTAACAGAGGTGTGTAGCTTCTAGAGCCACTCTACATATTATAACGTACATTATCTACATCTAACCAAACCCTTATTAGTAATACTTATTTACTGTTGAACATTTCTTAGTATCTCTGGTTTGAAAGAAAGGAATCTCAAAGGGTTTATTTGGGGTTTCTGAAGCGAGACTCTGTTAAAAGGAAGGAAGGATTTAATGTCAGAGCTGCAGCAGAAAGTCTCTTGGTATCTTTAATTACTATAAATCCAGATTACTCGGTCCCAGAGGTTGAAGATAACAGCGAGTCCAAAACAGTGTCCAAAGCAAAAAAAAAAAAAAAAAAAACACATCACAATAGTTTATGAAATCAGTATACTATAAGCCTTTAAAGCATCCAACCGTTTGCATTGAGGTATTTAAAAAATCTGTAATTATTTTTACAGAAATCTGAGTTTGGAGGCAACGGACCACCAAGTACAAACATGTTTGTACTACGAGCGGCACAAACATGTTTTAATCAGAATAACTAAATAAAAGATCATTTAATAACTATTAATACTAGTTTAAATTAATAACATTAATTTAAGCTAGTATCAAGAGTTTCACTCAGGAAGATGACTGCTGGCTATTTCTATTTCCCATATTTTTATTTATTTATTTTTTTAAAGCATCCATGTCTGAGTAAATGCTGCCCAGTGCAAACATAAAAACACTTTTAGTATCCTTCTCATGGAGTTGTTTTTGACGCATAAATCTCTTTTAATCCCCTCCACTGCACCCTCCAGACTAGCCGCTCATTTCAGCCCCCGGGGCCAACTAATCTGGATTTATACTAAATGAATTTCTCAGGTAACATATTAGCTGCTTCTAACCTTTCAACAGAACTTTACTTCAAAAAGTCTGAACTTATTCCCCTTTGGTTTAACCAGCAAAAGCCAACATAAAACTCTACCAATGGTTGTTTTGATGTACATCCCCAGTAACTACACTGCAACTAACTACATGTTTACTTAATTAACTTAAATCTATGGCTTTGCCCTCTTTCCGATAGATGTCTTCTTCTGTTTCAATTCCCCTGATGTTAATATTAACTCTGTGTCGTTCAGGCTAGAATTGTAAGGTTGGCTAAAAAGAAAAAAAAAAAAATCAAACATTCAGGTGAATGATGCAGAACAACAGGAAGTTGGCATGAACTATAATGAGACGCTTCATTAGTGATTTCCAGGGTTATCTCTGGGTGTTTATCACTTTCTGTATGCTCCCATTCTTTATTGACGGAAACAGATCTGGATTTTTCCCCATCAGTCAAAATGTCCCCTGTGGTTTTCCTTCCAGGTGAGAAACAGTAAAGCCAGCGGCTACTGCCTGGACCAAGGCTCCGAGGACGACGACAAAGCCATCCTGTACCCGTGCCACGGCATGTCCTCCCAGGTCAGGGCAGACTTTCTGCGTCGGTTGTTTTGCGTCTGTGAAATTAATAATTTACAAAACAAAAACAAAAAAAAAAGTCATTCAAAGCATCACTGGGCCACTGATTAAAAAGTTTTTCTTCAATTTCAGATTTCGTACTCCCCTGAAGAATATTTGATATAATTATTCTCCTCTTCATGCTTTATGGAGAGTAAAATCAAATTTAACATTGTAAGTGGTGGCAGGAGAGAAGCGTGCAGCTTACTGATTCTCTTTTTACACGAGCGTAGACGCCCACACGCATTATCTGTTGAAGATTTTCACCGCGGAGTAACACGTCTTCCTCTCTAACAGGTAATCCAGTTGATAAGGAACTAAAATAAGTACGGTGATGTATGCAGAGCTTTCATCCATACGCGGAATCACTTAGGTTTCATCTCCTACACATCTGTTAGTTTATTGTTTTGTTGTTGTTGTTTTTTTAGGATGTGCAACTTCACAAATGCCACAGAATTATATGTGCTTAAGTTTGCCATAGAGTAGAGGAGACGAACGTGAATCAGATTATTGGTGCATAATAATGTTCTGATCCTGCAGGGGTTGTAAGAAACGCTGAGAGGCGAAGCTCTGATCTGACAAATACCGAAGGTGCCCTTAAATCCTTAACATGCATTTCACATAATCTTACTGTGCAAGCTGAGAGCACGTTATCGCTACAGCAGGTTTGGATAACCTAAGAAAGTAATTGCTTTTTTGCAGAGAATATTACATGTTGCAGTAATCACATGTGTCCCGGATGCTAATGTCAGCAAATATGTTTTTTTTGTTTGTTTTTTTTTTAGAAATGTTACATGAATGATCAAAGGTTCACCTATAACACATTAAAAACATTAAATGTCTTTGTTATTGAGCTCATGTGTCGTCTAATTAAAAAAAAAATATAGCAACAAAAAGTGTTTTGAATTGGAAATGTTTATAGGCGACATGATTTTGGATAAAAGTGTGATTAATTGAGATGAATTATTCAACCTGCAATTCACTTGATTGAAAAAATGTAATTAATTCCAACCACTGCTTTTAAGATATTATTATTTTAAGATATAAAAATTAAGAAATTATATTAAACAACTGTTCTATGATTTTCTAGTCTTGCTGCCATGAGCAGGCATTCATATTGGACGTGTTGTTGTTCTGAATGACAAAACATTCCCTGTAAAATAGTGTTTTACTAATATTTTAATGAACAAAATTTAATGATAGCAAGATCTCCTATATTAATTACTTGTGCCTTTTTTTTAATCTGATACCTTATTTCTAAGATTTTTGCCATCATTTCCAAATCCAGCGTGTTCCATCACAAAGTTTGGAAACATCAGAAGGATAAAGAAGCTACTGTAACAACCTCCATCCTCCTTCACTGGGATGCGTTCTCTCTTGCAGCAAGGAAATGCTGTGGATATGTGAAATAATCCACTCTGGGTTCATTTGAGTCGGTGCTGTTGTCTCTAATTAGCTAACTCTGAGATGTTTCCTTTGTTTATTTAACTCAACAAAGAAAACCGATACAAACAAATCATCTCAATGCTTCACTTCTCTGAGTCTGTTAATTCACATTGTGCCCTAAGCAGCAGTTAGCACAGTTTAGCAGTAATGGTCTGGGTTAATGGATCTTGAACTCATAATTTGTGGTTTTACGAAGATTTAAGATCACTAAACCGATGTTCCACCTCTTCTGCTTCATTTTAAAACACTTTATTGGTGTGTTTTTTTTTTTTTTCCTGCCAAAAATCACTTTTGGAAAAAAAATAACTTGAGTCCTTATTTTATGAAGGTGACAATATTAAAACTATCTTTGAGGCAGAATATTACATAACATTTTGGAAAAAGATTATTTTACTTTTTTTTCCATTAGCCACTATATTTGTAGTTTTAGATTTTAAAAGATATAGACATAACTTTTGCAAAAAGAGGGTTTGTACACGTTCTAATCACAGTGATCTAGCACATACATTTACATGCACAAATATTGATGTAAAATTGTCATAAGTCATCTAAGGATGTTCTGTAAAAAACCTTAACCCATCTCATTTGAAACTCAGTTACACACAGATCAGTTCAGTCTTATTATACAACAATGCCAGTACAGCAAGATTACATACAGCGCAGTTCAATCCTATCAGTTCCACTTCAAAGAATGCATTAAAAGTCGGGCCATGTGATTATATCTGCACTGCACTTTCTGAACATAAAACACACACTCGTCCTCGGCATTTCTGAAACTCTGAACAGTCTCTTTTGGTCCCTTCAAGTCGCCCTAATCAGAAGCCGGAGTGCTGAGATCAGGGCTCTGAGGGGGCTGTCCCATCTGCTCCAGGACTCCCGGTTGTTCTTGTAGCCGAGCAAAGTTATTTTTAACTCCGCCGCATGTTTGCAGACATTGTCACACTGAATTAATGACTTTGGGATACAAATGAAAGCTCCCTAATGGGATTGTATTATAAAGATTTGAAACATCCGAGTACCCAAGCTTTTCACCAACTGAGGATGTGCAACTAGAAATCCTTTAATATTATTATAATTATAATTAGTGCTGGTTCATATGGGTCCACTGCCTGGTTCTGCTAGGGGCAAACAGAGGTGGACACTGTCCTTCCTCACAATACATGATGTATTTTTGTGCTGCAAATAATATAACTCCAGATTCTGCTCAATAGTTTATTGAATTACGACTGGAAAAATGATTAATTAATAGGATTTTACTTAAAGATAGTATTGGAAACACAACAATCAAATAATCATACATAAATGTCTGACCAACAAAACTTTTTTTTCTCTTTGTATTGTATGATGATACTTTGCAAATGTGCTCAGGATGCAAATGAAACACTAAAAATCTGGGGCACTTCAAGGTAAGAGAGCGTGTAAGAAGCATACCAAAACATCCAGTAGAGAAATGGATATGCACTCAGCAAAAACTTTGCTTAGACACCAGAATAAATAAAAGCCAAACTGGATGTTTTTGTGTGTATTTTTTTTTCTATTTATTAAGCAGAATCCAGCTCTGGTTGTTATGGAAATGCTGTTCATGCATATTTTTTTTATCTCTTACTTTCCCAACTTGCATAATGGCAGCCCGCTCTTGACAGAAACATGTTTATTTCCTGTTATTAAATGGAGTTTTAGAAGAAGGCCGGCAGCTTAGTTTGTCTTTAGACCACTTTATTGCTGACCCAAATGGAGATGAACTTGGTGCTTGTGAAACATTCAATTCCATTTAAGTGGGATTAACATTACAGTAAGTGGGTAAAACTCTCCTTCATGGAAAACTTAGAAAACACAATAAATGTCACAATGCTTCTGTGTCACAGCTGTGACTTTAAAGAACAGAATATGTTAGTATTCTAACATACTAATATAGTACTACTAGTTGTTAGTAACTAACATACTAACAAGTTAGTATGTCAGTAACATACTAGTACTGTATTTTCCGGACTATAAGCAGCATTGTTCAAAGCTTAGAATAAAGTTGCGGCTTATTGTCCGGAAAATATGGTATGTTAGTCAGTAACATACTAACACATGCTAGTATGTTAGTTACATTTAGCTAAAATACTGACATAAGTTAGTATATTAGTAACATACTAATTTGGTAGTAAAACTAACAGAATATGTTAGTGCTAACATGTTTTAGTATGTTAAATTTAACCAACATACTAGCATATGTTAGCATGTTAGTAAATAAAATGTGTTAGTATGTTATGTACATTTAACTAACACGTTAGTATGTTATTAGCACAGTTAGTAACATACTAACCATGTTACTAATTGGCATACAAACATATGTTGGTATGTTAGTTACATTTAACTAACATACTAAGAAGTTATTATGCTACTAACATACTAACATAAGCTACTGTTGGTAACATAAGACAAGTTAGCATGTTAGTTACTTTTAAGTAACATATTAGTAGCACAGTTCATAACATACCAACTACATTACTAACTACATAACTTATGTAGTTAGTAACATTCTGTATATTAGTACAGAATGTATTCTGTACTAACATAATATTTTTTGTATGTAATACATTTTGTTATGAATGACTAATATTTTCAGATCGCTAATGTGGCAGTACAGATGCACTTTTTGACACAAAAGACCTTTTATTTTATTACATGATTTGGTTAAGAATGAAAAATTAAAAGTAAAATAATTATAATAAAACATCAAAATAATATGATCAAATAATAATATAATATGTAACAAGTGCAACCCATAAATGTTTTTCTTTTCAAAGTTAATTGGTGCGGTCTATATTCAGGTGCTCCCTGTAGTCCAGAAATTAGCTTCAAGTTAACAGACTCGTCTGATTTAACAGTGAGGTTAGAAGCAGTTGAAACGCTGACACACGCACACAGAGAGAAGAGATCTGCACTGCAACTCAAACACTTCACAGATTTATCTCTTTCAACTGTTTGGCTCAGACGTCAAAAAGAATGCCATGTGTGTGTTTGTGTGTGATATTTTATAATGGCTTATCAAAAGCAGAACCCAGGACGACTGTCAATGTGATTAAGCTAGTTCACACTTGTATAGATGTTGAGTGTTTGTTTGCAGATTCAAACTTGACATCTTTTTTTTTTTGAAAAGCTACAGAAAAGAACACACTAAGCACACACACATTCCTATATGCTCAGTANTCTAGGGGTTTTTCTGCACCTCATTAAATTTATATTGAAGAATATTAATATGTAAATTTTTGTGTAGGTGCGATTGCCGTAGTGAATGAATTAATGTTATCAGTAGTATATGCTGCTATGTTCATCCAGAATGTCTCTGACTAGACTGTGAGTCAGAGTGACATGCTGCAGTGTTGTGTGATGTCAAATCTTAGTGTTTGTTGGTTGAAATGCTGTGTGAAGTGGCCTCCTGTTTCCCTGAATTTCTCTACATAAAGAGACAATTTAACTTCTGAAACCAAATGTTTTGTCTGGGTTCAATTCTAATCCTGCATGATCTTTTAATGAGACAATAAAGTGAGATGACCAAATCCATAACCTACTGAATTAAATTTATTTTATTCAAAGATCAAGAGGGCAATAAAGGACTACCCTGTTGATTTTTATTTTCACTCCTTCTAAGATAAGAGAAGCTTTAAAGAGATGCAATTTGAAATTAAACATCAACACATTTAGCCCCTAACATGACTTTTTTTTAAAATTTCCCTAGAAAAAAAAAATATTTTACCTCATTTTTTTGTGAGCTTGGTGGTCCTTAAAAATATGTCAGTAAACCGAATAATGACATTCAGCTCAATTGTGAGCTTGCTGTACCCTAGAAATATGTCAGTGGACTGAATAATGACATATCACAATACCTAGGAACTGCTCCAATTATTTTGCGGTGAGGTCAGTGGCCTGTTTGGGTTGGATTGTACAGCATGGAGTCCTGACTGATCGGTAAGGACAATCTGGAATGTCTTCTGAGAAGAACTCCCCGAAACACTCAAAGGGGGTTGACGTGACATCATGAGAATGCACACAGCCATTTTGCTAGCAGCAGCCGGCTGCTGCAGCTGGAAACATGCTGACAGACACAGCCAGCGAGTCAATGAAACTGGTAAAGATACAAGCTGTCAAGCATAAACCATAAGCTGACACATGTCGAGTATCTCTTTGTGGCATAGCTCTCTGTGTGAGGGAGGTTCCCCATAGAGATTTGCTCCACTTCTTCTGACTGTTTGCCGCTATCTGACCTACTCCACAAAAATGTTAGTCACCCTTTCTAATTCCTGTGGCATTAATTAGCACTGGTATGTTGACACAAGTAGACATTTTTATAGCTAGGTTTATTTTTTTAAAAAAGACAGGTGGAATAGTTTATATTCATATTTTTGCCTGTGTATGTATGTATTTCCTAATTAAATTAATAAACTATAATCATATGGTTCTGATTTCCATTTTCAAGGCATGCTATCGTTTTATGCTTCTGCCATTTGAATCCTCCCCAACATGTTCTTGTTCCTTTCCAGTGGCATTACTCATGTGCAACTCCTTCCACTACAACAGTGACTAACAGAAGAGGAAATTAATACGATTTCACATACGACTCGCTTGTTACTCTTGATCGTAACGGAAGCAAATGTTTGTAGGAAGCTATGACACTGTGTGTATAGCAATAAAGTGAAACGGCACACAACAGGATGGCTAATGAGGTAAATATCATGGCAATTATTTCCCACCATAATTTTGTCAACACAAAGAATTGAGAAAGAAAACCTGGCCTGCCAGCTGGAGTATGAATACTTGCCGCTTTTGTATTACAACTTTAATTACATGTAGCTGTTTTTTTGTCGACTGAAAAGGTAAACAGAGCATGACTTTTTGTATAAATACAAACAGAAACCAATTTGTCGTCTTGTTCTCATTTCATAAGACTTTGCATCAATACCGGGTTGAAATTAGACTGTTTTAGCAATATCAGATGTAATTTTGCAGCGTAATGAATGGTGGTTGTAAGACTTGTCATATTGAATAAAATCAATTAGATCACGCAAGATAATTTGTCATTTTTAGTGTGGCTTGTATAAAACAGTGGTCCGTGGAAAAAGCTCCAATCTTATTACCTTATGTTGTAAAATTATCAAAGAAATTAGATTAAAAGAAAAAAAAAACCTCTCCTTTTAAAAGATGAAGTAGCTTCAATATGGGTTCTAGTGGAAGTTTATGAATGGTTTATAATTAATAACCTGCAGTATATAACTGCATGAATGTGAGTGACTTGAACCTCACAAGTATATGACCATATTCACACCATTTCTAGCTCAGCTGAGCTGCCACTTTCACTCAGAGACAGTTTAGTCTAGAGCCTGAAAATGGGCAATCATGGTGTGCATTCTGTTAGACAAAACCATAGAAAATTCTCGAAAGACGCATTAAAGTACTTTCTTAATAGGATAGCAGTCGAGTTTTGATATACTCATGGTCTTGAAAACTAATGAAGTAGTTAGTTTTTCTTCTACTCCTAATCTGACTCGCTTGACTGCTACAGCTCCACCTTCTGGTTTGGAGGTTTATTGTCACTGCTGGTAAAAACCAGCCTCTTGTACTATGGTTTGCTTCATCCGGAGGGACTGGGCTCTCGGCTATTGAGAAACGACTGCTTCCTGAAGGCATGGATTCTGTCGAGGTTTTAAATTTGACCCAATCGCTAATTGCCTTAGCCATTGCTAAAACTACAGGTAGATTACAATTCTAAAACGGCACCAAAAATTGACGTTATAATTCACAACTTGTCCTTGTGTTTGTTGATTGACCCTCCCTTCACCAGAGGGAATCCAGGTGAAGGGGAGGAAGCCCAGGTTGAGCTGTGAAGCGAGATTTGAATCGAGCGGAAAAGTGTCGGAAGGCAATGGCAAAAACTCACAAAAATTTGAGCTACTCATGGACGCCCACAGAGAGCTTGTGGGGATGTAATAATACACCCAACTCACAAGCTTGAGACAATACACGATTGATGAGAAACAGAGTATTTTTCTTTTTTTTTTTTTTGAAGACTAAGAATCCCTTTGTAAAGATTTCATATATTAAGTCGTCTAGGGCAGTGTTTCTCAACCCTGGTCCTCAGCGCCCCCCTGCTCTGCATGTTTTAGATGTGCCTCTATTCCAGAACAGCTGATTCAAATGATTGCATGACCATCAAGTACTGCAGAAGCCTGGTAGTCACCCAGAGATACAACTCAGGTGTGTGGCAGAAGGGGAATACCTAAAACATGCAGGACAGGGGGGCGCTGAGGACCAGGGTTGAGAAACACTGGTCTAGGGTGTACCCTCTCGCTCCATGACTTCTGACAACCTCTCTGCGATTATGCGAGAATAGATGGATTTCAAAAATCTCAATCTGTGATGTTTAGTGATTAAGTAACAATCACTAAACATTAGTGATTGTTACTTAATCACTAATGTTTAGTGATTAAACATTAGTGATTAATGTTTAATCACTAAACATTAACTCTTTGCTAGCAACTCTTTGCTGGCAACTCTTTGCTAGCTAACTCTTTGCTGGCAACTCTTTGCTAGCTAACTCTTTGCCTCTAAGCTAAGACAATACAACAGGATAAGTCAACAGAATAAGTTAAGAATGATTTTTTTTTTTTTTTTTTGCTTCAAGTCTCAAACACAAGTACAGAAAATAACATTTTAAACAGACTCTTACTCTTTAAGCTTAAATTTAAGGCTCCAGGTGCATTCGAAAGCCAGCAATCACAGGGCATTGTGAGTGAGACAGACTTTATGTCAATGTGACATGATGTCTTGCTACATCACTACTAGGATGGCTGAACTCCTTAGTCATATTCTGTCATATGCAACATAGAGGGACATTTGGTATTGCCCAATTTTTACACGGATAAATGCTGAAACATTTTTGTAGATTCTGTTGTTGCTATGAAGTGGAAAATGTGTTACTGTTCAAGCAGAAATCATGTGCTCTGTTCAGCCACACTGACAAGAACAATTACATGGCGGTTTGATCCTCGGACATAAAAACGTGTCATCCGTGTACAGCACGCCACAAATCTGCCAAAGCTTGATTGCACGGTCACTTTTTTTTGTCTCACTTAATCACAGACTCACTCAAGGGCTTAATCATTCTCTTTTTTTTGAATCAGTTGTAATTCCCTGCATGTCCTCCCATCCACATTTACACTTCTTACTCCTTCTCTCTCCATGTGTTCTTCTTTACTTCTTTATTTCGCTCTGGGAGTGATTTCACTCTCATCGGCCTATACCTCTTAGCTTTTTTCCTTTCATTCACTATTTGATCACATACATTTTCTAAATTATCCCTCTCCTTTTGACTTGTTTCCTACTCTCCTCTGTTTCACTTTGTCTCTTGCTCTTTCCTGCACGCTTTTCCCTTTCATATCCTTGCCGGCTCCTCACTTCTCTTATCCTACAGTGATACTCTACTTTCCTTTTCTCTCTAATGATACACTCTAGAGCTTACTTTTTCTATTCCTCCCTCTCCTTCCCTTCTGTCTTTTCCTATCAGCTGCACGTCTATTATTCTTCCTCCCGCTTCATCTCTGTGCACCCCCAGTCTCGTATATTTCTCAATGTCTTTCTGTCTTCTCCTTTCTGTTCACTCTGAGCAATAGCTCTATTGATTCTCTCTGATTATTTGGCCCAAGGACGACCACGGGGCAGAACACCTCTTTAACTTATCAGTCTGTTTGCGTGTGCGGTACACTCGGGTGTCACCGGGGAATCTGTTGCCTGTGCAACAGTTAAGAAAAGAAAAACTTAATGCAGCTGTATGTAAATTTGTTCACATTTTGTCACCTTACAACCACAAACAGCAGTGTAGTTTATTGGTATGCAACATCACAAACAACACAAAGTATAGCAAAGTAAAATAGTAGATTTTATGACACAATCAGTACTAAAAATATACACTAATTTGCATTAAAAAAACATTACACTCAGACCCCATTAACTCCTCACGTAAGTGCAAAGCTGTGCACAGCAGTGCTGCAGACAAGCAGGCATCTTGTCCTTCCCCTCCTGGAAAACATGGTGACCTGAGCTGTCATGAAGTTTACAACTCAACCAATATGTCTGGAGACCATGTGCGACTCTTCTCAGTAAAGTTCTGTTCTGAGATTTTTTTGTCTACGGGGTTAGACAAACCC